CCGGTGCTTGCTCTCCGTAGGGAGCAGGGATGGGTCTGGCGGTGCCCCGGGCTCCCACAGCTCCCGGAGTCTAAATTCCGTGGCTGTGAAGTTTCTTCGGGAGAAGTCTCGTCGCCCAGCACTTCACTGCCGGGTTTTATTGCTCCGTACAAAGGGAGGATAAAGTTAAAAAATCATTGTTCCCCTTGTGTTGTTCAAGAGTTTGGACCAGAAGCTGTGGTCATCTCTTAACTCAGTCGTCTCTTTGCTTTTCTCTTTGCTCCTGCGCACCCCCAGACGTGGATGAAGGGGACAACAGCACCAGCCTTGAGGTACAATTTTTGTTTTGTTCCTATTTTTGGACTTTCTTATTTCCTGTGAGGGTTTCCTGAAGCTGAAAGCAGCTGTACGTAATTTGATAGCATTGGGACAATGTCTTTAGATGCTTTTACTTTGAAAGAGCCTTTCCTGATGAGAGTTTTATCCTTTCTGACTTTAAGGACTGGTCCCATTTTATTGTGTGTGTGTTTTATTTCTTGCAAACCATTCATGCTCTGCTTCATATTCTAAACTGTTTTAATAATGCTACAATTTAAATACTTTCATTTTTAGCCTAAAGAAGGAGGAGTTGCAGAATTCTGGCAGATTGCACTTCTTGCATTTGTTTTTAATCACAAATGTGAAACTCACAGACCAACAGGCTCACATGATGCTTTCCCTAGTCGTGAAAAACAAACCCCATGAGAAGAAATAGTTCTCAGAACTAAAACACACACACAATGTACTTGTACACAGTTAACAATGTTTTGTGAAAATCCAGGTTCCGTAGTCAAAACAAGCCACGGGTGCCTCTGAGCTACGAGGAAGCCTTGTGTTTTGGGTTAATCCCAATTTTAAGTCCTTGTTTTCAGGGCTGATAAGGTTTCCCACCCCTGCCTGGCCAGGGAATGTGTCAGTGTTTGCCTTGGACTGCAGTGAGGAGGAGCTGGACTCTCAGCAGTGCTGGGTGCCTGGACCCTGGATGGGTGTGAGCTGCATATTTGTGCTGATTGCTTCTCAGCCTCGAGTTCTTAAGGAAACGTGGACGTGAGGAAGCAGAGAAATGCTCTTGGTGCCAGTCCATACTCTGGGCAGGTGTCTGCTCTGTGCTGAGGTGCAGTGAGGGCCCTGCAGGGTGGTCCCACAGGTGTTGTGGGTCTGAGGGTTCTCTGGGGCTGGGTGAGGTGAGGTGCTTAGGCTGGGTGCTGAGCACAGCCTTCCTCAGAGAGGAGCTGCCCTGGTGACTTGGCTGTGACCTCATTCCTGCCCCAGGAGCTGCCACAGCAATCACTGACATGGCTCAGGTGTCTGCACAGCTCAGCCTGGCTGCTTTGCTTCCTCTGCTTGTCCAAGGGTTGTCCAAGCTGGGAAAGATCCCCCCCGAGTCTGAGCAGGGGAATATCAGACTGTCACTCCTGAAAACTCTGCAAGAACCTCTCAGGGGTTCTTGGAGCTCTGAATTTCATCTTTCCCTTGTTGCTTTTCTGCACTGAGGCCCCAGCCTGGGCATGCTTGTGTTTTATGCTTTTCCCCGTGGATTTGTTTCTCCCCTTGCATTAGCAATGTGAGTGTCAGTTGGCAATTACTATTTTTGGTGTTATTTGAGATCATACAGGCCTGGAGAGGACCAGAACTGTCCATGTCCCAGTGTCCCTGACACTGTCATGGGGAAATAAATACATGAAGTGACCAGAACAGACTTCCACCAGGAACTCTGTGTCACCAGGTGTTGTACCTGTTGCTGACACATCTTCAGCTTTTTATTTTTGCAAAACCTTGTGACTTTTCGCTGCAATCCCATGAGTAATAGTCTGATAACAAAAATGACAGACTTAGTTTGACTCATGTTGGGAAGATAAACATTAAAGTGCTAAAGTGACCTGAGAAGGCAAAGTGAGCACTGGTCTAGCAGGAGTTTCCTTTGTGCTGTAAAACTGGAATGAATTCCATTCGAGAGACCAGTTTGATGACTTGGTGTACCCTTCCTTTTTCTCTTGGTGGCAAAGCTGAGTTCAGCTGTCATCCAGATCTGGAACCACAGGCAGGAATGGCACCTGAATTGTGTGTAGGGTTTAATTCAAGTGTTTTTAAGGTTCAAGATTTAGAGGGAAATGTATTTGCCCTTGTACTCACGTTGTTTTCATTTGTCCCTAAGAATAGTTTTGCCTTTTCCCCCTTTCTCTTAAGTTTTGGGTTGGCATTTGTGAGACTGTTTTAGGTGCCAGGTTTTATTCCTGAGTGACACTGGTAGACACAGGTCCCAGGACAGCACACCTGAGCCCAGGGCTTCTGCCCATGTGCATCATCTGCTTTTTATGATGACTTTAATATGCTGGTTTGTGACTTGTTTTCTCAGTCTCATAAAGTCCTTTGCATTCCATTCTCATCCTTGTTGCTCTGAATAACATAGAATGATTAAAAAAAAATGTTCAGCTCTGTTTGACCCTGATTTAGGCCTGTTTAGGAATGCACTGAACTGACAGCAACACAAAACTCCCCTACTGATCCCTTTCCACTGAATGTTTCTGTTTACAAAGTGGGTTATAAGTCAAAGAAAAATACAATCAAATTGGTTGAGATGTTTTTTATGGGGACTTTTTTCCAGCTGTGGGAAACTAATTTCACCTTCCTTTTGGTGCCAGGCTGTGACAGGAGGTGGGACCCCCATCCTGCAGTTTGTGGAGGACAGGATCCAGACCACCATGGTAAAGTGGAGCTGCAGTCAGCAGCTGGCTGAGGGCTGGGGCTGCATCCACAGCAGCTTCTCCTGAGCTCCACGAGCTCTGCTAAGTCACTGCCAAAGTCTGAATGTTTGTTTCTTTGCTGTCATTGTGCATGAGGCAGGAATTAATCTCTGTTATTTAGAATCTCAGGTTGGTTTGGGCTCAAAGGGACACCCTAAAGCCCACCCAGTTCCACCCCTGCCATGGCAGGGACACCTCCCACTGTCCCAGGCTGCTCCCAGCCC